GGTTCCCAGTTGTGGGATCTGCCTCCCTGGCGTCGGTAGCATTGGTGCTCAGCACGAAAAAAAAGTTCGACGGAAAACAAATCAAGGAAAAAAAAATTCATTTCAGTTTTCAGTAAAGTGAAATTTGCCGTTGTTATTGATTCCATCGAAAGTTAAATTTTTTCTACTGTGAAAATGGAAAAGTCGGAAAAGTAAGAAGCAGCCTATCAGAAGCAGCCTATCAGAAGCAACTTGTTGAGATCCTTGTAATGTCACCTGTTCAAGGGAGTTTTTAGATGCCACGATCGTTCAGCTACCGCTGAGATGAACTACCCTCTGGCTAGTTAATTATTTTGTCATAAATAAAGTAAATAAAAATCAAAACAAAACGATCAGCTACCGGTTTTATATTGTTTTAATACCCGTAGCTTGCAACCGATTGCACGGAACTACTGGAAACATTGGATTCATATGGTGAGACCTTTCCATCATTAACATTTTATATAGGGGAAATGTAGGTAATGTCGGCCTACATGTCCCTAATTTGGGCCCATCGCTAAAAGTCTGCTATTTATCAATTTTATCTAGATGAACGCGTTATTGGGACGTTACTAATGGATATTTTTGGTTGCTATTGAAAATTTAGTTGATTGCTGAATTTATGTATGGGCCCAAATTAGGGACACTTAGGCCGACATTACCTGCATTTCCCCTACCATTTATTACACGACATATTATTATTGTAATCACATTTATATAGCTCGGAGCGTTTGGCACGGTATGTCCACGCATCCTTCCACCCCTGTGGATTCAAGAAATGCTTAGTTTTTTGAATATTTGTACTTGAACTCGAATCATTGCCAAGATTCATCTTTGCAGCAAACGTAGTAGGCTCGGCCGTTTTGATGTTTGTGTCGTATCTCAGATTTGCTGCAATCACCAATATTGATAAGATAAATTATTGGACCACAGACAAACAGACATAACTCTTGCAAGTTGATCATCGATCACGTATTTATCGGACAATTTAAATGTTTCTTAGTTGGTAGTACCGCCACCTGTGGCATGCATAGTCAATTCTCTTTCGTTTGACGTTTACACACTACCGTCATCTGTTGAGCGTACTGCCCATTATAGATGTTCTAGCGACGATGTTTTACAGTGAGAAATAATCAATGTGTTATGTCTGTGATTGGACATTATCTACACAGTTCGAAAAAGTAGTGTAAATTTCTGTTCAATATAATGCATATAAATGGAGCGTCACATATCATATACGTTTACATTATATATCATGTTTAGTTCTGACACATTTCATGCAATGTAGCAAATATTGTACACAGCAAAAAAATAATTTTGATATCACATCAAAGTGGATGCACTACAATCATGTCGAAAATTTTATGTAATTTTTATGACCACATAAATAAACAAATGCAGTAAAAGCAGCGTAATGTCAGTTCATGCATTGTATTAATGATAATTTTGTCCTTTTTAGCAAGTAATATTACACCATATTTTCGACATGATTGTAGTGCATCCACTTTGACGTGATATCAAAATTATTTTTTTGCTGTGTATACAAAAGCTCATCTTTGTGAACAACATTGTTTGCAAGTTGCTCGGTTGCGTGAAATGAAATACAAATCTACGTGAATGAATGTTTACATCACAATTAAAATTCAGAATTTTTATCTGTGTATCCTAGCTTTCTCGTACTGGCTAACAGTCAACTCTTTCTTACTCGATCTCTCCCTAGCTCGATATTCCCCCCAACTCGATCGAAATCTAGGATACTTCGAACACTTTTCCCAAACAAGTTTTCCAAATGTATCTCCGTAACTCGCTATCCTCTCTAACTCGATGGTTCCTTAAATATCAAAGACGGGAGAGTTTACAGTGCAACATTTAAGTTAATATGAGCGCTTTTTGCTATGGTCCATTTTTCACACAATTCTTTCCCTCAAAATATCGACACTGTTTGTTCAAGATCTCCTCATACACAGCAAAAAAATGTAATATCGATCAACGTAATTCAAGCTGCTGTATGAAATAATGATGTAATAGCAAAAATCAGATACAATATTACATCAATAGATGTAATTTTGTTCGCAAAATCGATGTACATCAGATTTTGTTTGAAAGATTCGTCCGATTTGTCTGGATTTCGTTTTTCTGACTTCCCCTTATACTACCTTCCGTCTAATCACCGAAGCTTATTTATATATTTTCAAGAAAGCTCTTCCAATTTTCCCCGGCAATTTCTTTAATCTTCCAGCGGAAGCTTGTGCCAGTTTAACTATGATGCTTCTTACAACTTCTCCCGAAAGATAGTCCCAACTTCTTATTTGTTTTGTTTATTAATTTATTTGATAAGGCTCAACTGAATTAACTTAACAGAGCCGAGGATTCTTGTTCACTATACAATACATCTTAAAACTATAGTCAAAAGGTACAACACAATAAACATTTTATCTTCCGTTATCCAATAAGCCTCCTCCACCAGAACGGGAGCCGCTTCCAGTGGTATCATTGTAAGGCAGATTCGCCAACGGAGGTCAGAGTGCTTCCATTGTAGCAATGGACGCAAAACGTGTTCAACACTCACACATTCATCACGAAACGGTTGCTTTCCAAAGTATACGACGCATCGACCGAAAGAACTGCTGATGAAAAACAATGGTTGCTGCCGAGTAAACAGACGATCGCGTGACACACATTGAGAGTGGTCTGCTTCTGTCGACAGCTGAGTGAACACTGAGTTCCAACTACTACTATAGGTTTCTTTCGACCTCCTAGAAGTGATTCTGGTTTCCTCCGGGACAGTGATGGAAAAGTTCGCGAAAACTCACTATGACTCGCGAACTTTTCCCTTGGTGAACTTCGTGAAATATCGCGAACTTTTCCAACACTGCTCCGGGAGTGAGTTCTGCTGTTGAGTTGTTACTGTTTTTCAGTGAATGTAAAATACAATCACTGAAAAACAGTAGTGGCTTCTGTTCGCTCTGGTTCGTCAAGCATCAGAGATACGGATTTGAGTTGTTAACAAAAGTTGTAGCTAATTACAAAACCTACAAAAGCTATATACATAATTTTGCGGAATGCTGTCGAAGAAAAAAGTTATAGGCAAATAAATGTAAATGAATGCACGAAATGAATGCAAATAATTTTCCATGCCTGGGTGCGGGTGCTGTCTCCTTGGTGTTGGTAGCATTGGTACTCAGTATGGAAAACAAGATAGACGGAAAACTTAGGATTCACCAAAATATAAAGCAATGCATTTTTAAACCATCGGTGATTTTTGCACAGTTGATTTTTTTTTTTCAGGTAAAACTCACTCATTCATGCATGAGATTTGAGTATTTCAGAATTCTGCGTTTTACTTTTTTATTTACATTTGCTTGATTTTTTACTAACTGTAGGAGTATTTCTAAGAAAACTTGAGGAAAGTTTCAAAGAAATTTTCAACGAAATTTTGAGGTAAATTTCGAAGAAATACGATGTATAATTTCATGGTTGTTCCTGCAATCATTTTTAGAGAACTCAAAGAAGAGATTCTAGGGAATTATGAGAACCATTTCAAGGAATTCACGTTTACAAAAAATTCCTTAAAAAAGTTGAAGTTCTAGGAAAATAATGGATATGATTTTGAAAATAATTACTTCGTGACAATGTTTCGTTCCTTATAATCTTGAAGCTCTAACTCCGAAATTTTTCATTTTTTTCAGTCCAGAATTCAATCGTTCCTCATTAAAAGTTACAACCTAATTCATAAAAACGTCATTCGCAATAATCCACCGCTTCTTAAAACACAGACAACACATTCAATGTATTTTAATGCGTATATTCTTAATCCTAAATTTAAATCGGCAGTTAATCTACTGAACTATTTACGAACCATGGATCATAGCGAAGCCCTTTCAGACAAACTTTATCATCGTCAAGTCCATCAACCAACAAGTAAGTCACGATTGATTCCGCTCCATAAATTACAAGCAATTGTGTAACGATTAAACGAGTCCAAACGTTCGACGTTGACCCATCCATCACCTAGCACTTCCTTTCCTTGTCGACCTAGAGTCACGCGCGGAACGGGACCCACTCCAAAGGCCAGAACTCACACACGGAAGAAGAGTAACGGCGTCGAGCCAGCAACAGTCCGCCGTCATCGGTCGAAGCGAAAACAAAAATGCATTTCAATCGATCCACTGCACATTTGCAATTCACTGTCACCGCCTATATTAAGGGCCAGGGGGCCAATAGCAGCTCATTGTGGTAATATCAAACAGACCTACACTGCAACAAAATACCGCTCGTATCATACAAATCAATACAAATAAAAGGAAGAAGAAAAAGTACGCCGATAATGCAAAACCGCAGCTCAAACGATTCTTACACCAGACCGGTTCGAGAAGTGATGCGTTTTGAACTAGAGCGAACGAATGGAATGCTCTACGTGTTCCACAATTTACAATCATCTTTCGATCACACGGATACTGCACACTTGTTGGTATTGAATTTATATGGAATATTTAGCACATAGTCAATAACAACGAAGCTACAAAACCATCCTATTTTTGTTCAAAGTCATGTATGTCGACAGTAACGGGTTTGAGTGATGGGAAGTTCGTCATCTGTTCAGTGGCAGAGCAGTCGATATCAATGTAGGTAACCTCCTTTCAATTGACTACCCTTATCACCGTCTGGTCTATCGAAGAGCAGTATTGTATGTGAATTACTTTCCCTGAGCATTGTTGCTACCACGCGACTTCCATGGACATACTCTACCCCAATAAAGAGAATCGTAATCTTACTGGCAACACATGGCCCAATCTCGAAGCTCGGAGCTCACACAGCTCTAGGTCATCATAATATTCATGAATAAAATTGCAATAACGGTCCGGCGCGAAATGTACTCGCATGATGTGCTCTGCTCACATAGCTCAACTTAATTGAATTAGTGCAATGTGAGAAAACTATCGTCCAAAAATAAACCACCGCATCTTGAACTGTGAACTCACCGTTTAATTCTTGCAAACACCCTGCGAGTGACCAAATTGAATTAAAATCAACTGAAACACGTTTGTAAGAGCGACACGCCGGTAAACAGATTCAAATTGAATTCAATTTACACACTGGACGCCAGACGCGTTTTTCTTCCGTTCACACACAATACCGACTCTAACGATCGACCGCCAAGTCTTTGTTCTTAGAATCTACCACCGATAAGCTCCAAACAGGCTACAAATCAGGCACGTCCGGACGCCTTCACGCACGCACTAGAACTGAAACTGAAATGAACGGGCCGCGCAAAGAATCTTCCTTATTGGCGACGTTCAGTAATAGTAGTACACTGCCACCCCCTCAGCCAACGAACGTCTAGCGGTGATCCACTCGAGTCGACCTGATCGAGCTGTAAGATCAACAATGCTCAAATTGCTCCTAAAAGCGCGGCCTGTGAGAGAATTTTCCAAGCTAGCGCGCGCTCCGACGGTCCCACGAGAACCCCGCTCATAAGGATACTCATGACTACTGACGGCTGGCTGAGTGAACAAGTACTTACCGACGACTGGCTCTCGACAGAGTAGGGGAGGGAGAGCCACCCGTGTTCTATACCTAAAACGCCGCCGCCCTGCCTGCCCGGTCGAGTGCTACTTCCTTCGCTCGCCACCCCGTTTTTTTTTCACGGTAGTACTCTAAAAGATGCGAATTTGTGATAAGTATTGTAATCGATACCACAAGATCCCAACTACTCTGGCATTATCCCCGCTAGGTGTCTTACTCACCACATGTTTTCTGTTTTTATTCTTTGCTTCGTGCTTTCTACGCGGCCGCGTTCAATTCAACAGCTTGCCGTCTTTATGGCATTTTTTCGCGTTGTTATTTTGCCTCTCGTCGCGCGGTGTGCCGCATCCGCGTCTACAACGCCCCTACCCCTGTCCAATTACTACCTACGCTCGGTCGCCCGTTGATACGGAGATAAACAAAGTCGCGAAAATCAACACGATCGCGTCAAATGTGTATGTAGCGCGCCTTCCCATGTTCCTGAGATCATATTCGACATGCAGAGTCGCGTGCTGTGCACGAGGTTAGGGGAAGCAACAATTTAGCTGTCGTGCGACAAAGCTGTGCTACATTACGTTGTGTCGATGATACTGGCATAGCACAGTATAAAAATACTCCAATATTACGCATCATATATTTTTAATTCCATCAAAACAAACAAAAGTAAATTCTAGAACTACTGAAGCAAGCACAAATTGATATTATTAGACATGTAGAACAGTATTGGCTATATTAATGATTGATTAATAATTCGAAATGTGTTATCAAAACAAGAATAAATAAATGACACTCAAGAATAAGTAAATGACACTCATTCCGACGCATTTTATTTATTATTTTAAAAACCTAAGGGTTGTGTCCAAAGCACGACCGCATTGTTGATGTAGGACAACGGGATATTTTTTTGCTGCTCCATTCAATGATATATTAATAACAAAATAAATGGTTTAGAAATTTAACTCCAAAATGAATCATACATTATATTTTTTTTTTTTTTTGAAAATGGTTGGCAGTTCTTTTATTATTCATAATTAGGTTCCAAACATGTTCAACCATCTTTCGGAAACTTACTCATGCAAGTCCTGAAAAAAAGCTTTAATAATCAAAGTGCACCTGACATTACAAAGCTTTATGCTGCAGAACTATGGCAGACAAGTGGCTATCAAATTCAAATAAAATTTATTTAAATTAACTTGAATTCAGTTCAGTTGTGATCAATATAAAATCTATAAAATAACAAACTTTGTTACTGAAAAAACTGAGCTACCGACGCCAAGGAGACAGCTTCTACACCTGAATCCTACGTATCGACCCATCAACTCATAGACCGGGGACCAACGGCTTTACTTCTCTTCCGAAGGATTGAACCCAGGCCTGCTGGGGTTAGAGGTAATCAAGCTTACTACTAAATCACCGGCGCTGCTAAACCCCATACATACAACATATAATTCTAGTTATAGCTATAGTTTTCATAGCTTTCATTATTCTTTGATCACTTTTCGTTCAAGAAAGATTGCATGTATCGTGAGATGTTCACCTATATTCTTATTTTCAATCGATCAAAAAAAAAAGTGTTTAAATGGTTCAAACGGTTCGAACAAACACAAGAATTTAAGTGATTGACAAAAGAATATATATATATATATTTTGGGCTTTGTTTAGTCATCATTTCCCAAGTAACTGTAAATACAATGAATGTTGCAGACATATGCATAATCCCAGTTAGAACGTAACAATAAAAATCAGAATGTGTTTTATTGATCTGAACAATGAATTTAAAAAATAATCTAAATCGCGAAAATAGATCTGCGATAGTATGTAATTTTTTAGCGTGTCTAATCTAATCTAATCTAATCTAACACCAACACAGCCAGTTTTTGAAAGCATCCTGGAAAATGATATGTATATACCTACATCATTTTTCTTGTCTATTTAATATATGTTCCACATCGAAGATGTGTCACACATATCAAAACGGCCAGGCCTACTGTGCAGCATTTAAGGGGCAAGATGATTCAGAAAACATCGGACCTGTTTAAATCTAAGATTTAAACACGATGCTTCAGAATCCAATAAATGGATGAAACGTGGACATCTCGTACCGTACGTTCCGATTTTGGTAATTATATGATTGGTTGGTCGTTGGAAGCATCAAAACTAGAAAGGTTAAGTGATGCTCCATTTTCTTCTGACGGTTGGGGCATGAGCACTAACTCTTGTCCTAGCCTTTTATGACTTATGGCTATAGCGCCATTACTCGCTTTCTGAAAAGAAAAGAGGGAAAGGAAAAGGAGAAGGACAAAGGGAAAATGATTATGTGAAATCTATGAACATAAACAATATTTTTGATTTGAAATATACAATATAGAAATGCATAACGGCGCGGTGGTCACTACCCGAGTCTTGTCACTATTATCAAGTCATAAAAAGTAACAAGCACTAAAATGTGATCCTTTGATTACTGGAAAATCCTGATTCCCTAGTTTGAAGTAGTCATGACTAGGGTTCGGTGGTAGATCTTATACTGGTTATACGCACCACAAAAAGGTGATTTCCCAACGTTACTGGTTTGAAAAGATAAAAATTTACAAAACTGAACGAACTGACCAAGTTTAGCCAATTGAAAAAAAAAAATCGCTGCCTGACATGTGTTGATGTAGAAGTTCAAATTGTAGACGAAGCTTGACAAAGATCAACATTAACTAGTCCGGTTTATGGTAGTTGCGTGGATTGTCTTCCTTCGATTTGAGGTAAACAAATGTTCGAATGTAAGTAGTCGATTTTTGATGTGTATTGGCAAGCCTTTTCGTGACCAATATTCAGGTTCAACGCTGCAACTCAACGAATGATGGGACGCCTCGTGGAGGTTCTACTTGGCTTCGGAACAGCTTCTCAGCGCGCAAATAACAGGGACCTAGAATGAGGAACTAGAAATTGTCTCCTGGGCCTGGTTATAACTAGATCAGCAACCGATTATAGATAAAATAAATAATAAAAAAACTCCACGGAAAAAAAACAAACATCAGGTTCGAACACACGCAAAGCCTCTCCCAGTGCTGAACTGAAAATAAATTTAAATCCTTTTTAAAATAAACATATACTGATATACCTTGATAAAACGCAACTGTCACTCTTGTCTTTCATTGCCGATTTCTCGCAAACGGTCATTCAAACAAGCAAAGTAATAACACCATCGGACAGATGAAATAATCTCCTATCTATCAGTAATAATAACGTGTATGACTCAATTATTATTAGCGAGATATTGACGATGTAAGTCAAAAGTGACAGCTACGTTTCATAGAAGTATACCTGTAATATAAGTCACATTACTAAAGAGGAATTCAATGTAGTGTATTAACCTATATAGTTTACAGTTTGATGTGTCTCCATGCAGCATGGAACAACTTTAGCGAGGTCTAATTACCCACCGAAGAACCTGGATCAGAGAAAGGTTGTTTGCAAAATTTGTCAGGTTCATATTTTACTGGCATCGTAATTTTCACCTAGGGTTGGTATAGTGATTTTATATGTTGCACAAATATTTTAGAAAGGAAAGACCACCAACTTAGTAATAACGACCTCGTCCGCAATGTGGCTTAGTGAGGTTAGAAGGTTTACATTGTTCAGGATAACATCAGGTAAGGAGCTTCGAAATGGGATTTTGTTATTATATTAGAGAATTATCGCCAGTTGCGGTTCTGATATCGATCAAGATTTCAGCGACAACGTACAATCAGTTTCAGCCAGTTTCATGTTAAATTTACATTTTGAGGCATTATAAGGTCTGTATGTATGTAGGTATTTACAATCCAACTTCCACTGCATGGTAGTGACATAAAATCTCCCTGCAGTCATGACTGCAAGAAGCTTGAATTCAAGAACTAGAATGTGACACCTCTATCGTAGATCCAATAACCCATTACAAGAAAGCAGGTATTCCGGTAAGCCCTGCTACAATACAATATCGATGCCAATATATCGCTGAAATATTCCAAGGGCAGTATTGCAGTACTTGCAGCTACTGTTAATTTTATTGAATTTTTGTATAAGAGCTACAGAAACGAAAGCCAAAAAATAACTTAGCTGAGTGTCGGTGCCGGCTGGAATAAACTGTTGTTATCCAGAAGACTTCACTATTCATCAATGCCAATTACTAAAGCAACGGAATCGAGTGGAACTCCATTTGGTCATCGTCATACAATCCACTACAAACTTCACTTCACAATTGTTACAATTTATTTCACATTATAAGTTATTTAAAATTTGAATTTATTTTTTCACGAGAAAATCACGCAGCACAGTCATAGTATGTAACTTTTTAGCGTGTGAGTAAAAATTTATGAAATATTGACTGAAACTAGCTAAAAGTGTAATGTTTACGCTGGCAGAATTTAATCACAATCTGTCAAGTGGTTATCGAGATGGCATCGGAGTAAGAGCAGATCTGCCAAATAATCTAGTGCGCCGTCGTGGAAAATCCGACTGCGTCCCACAGATGGATCGGTAAACAACTGGGGATCCATCATTCGACGATTTCCCGGGTGGTGAAGTCGTGCAAGGATACCCAGATGACCCAGCGGCAGAAAACCGAAGACAGCTGACCTGGTGAAGGCCAAATTTGTTCTGAAATTATGCAGAACAAACGGTTTTCAAAAGCTCACAAACGCCAACCCGGACGAATCTGGATGAGTTCTCACCTCTGATGTGTTCATGTCAACTTGAATTTTCATTCATCCTAAGATTATATGATCGAACCACGCAACTTTTGACGTAGAACTACGTCTTTGTCGACTATACTGGGGTGCAATCAAAAAATATGTGTGGTGAAATAGCGTTAGG